TACAATCCTTAAATGAAAAATTGCTAAATATTGAAGGAAAAAAAAAAAAAAAAAAAAAAAAAAAAACTCACCCTGAGCTGCCGTATCACTTCACGCAAGTGATTCACATCATCTTGCATAACTTCATTAACAATTGCTTTGTTTTTTATGGCTTTGGCACGCTGGGCAAACCTCAAGGTGCTAAGACTTTCACTCTTGCAGCTGCAAAACAACCCACGTAGATTTTTTATTTCAAGAAGAAAAAAGCACCTTCAATGTAAGAGGAGCACTGAAATATTATATTGACCTCTGTGATGGAGAAATGGCACAAACCATCGCTAATTTTGCATTTCCCCCGAGAGATTCTTGCAATAAAAAAGTGAGCCTGGAGTCTCTATACGGGATGTGCCTTTGTTTTCCAGTTTGAGAAATCTCGGCAAGAATATTAATAAGATTCCTGTACCACAATCGCTTTCTCAACAAGATAGGTAGAGAAAACCGTCCTTAGTGACATGAAAAATTGTATGCAAAAATACTTTCCTTCATCTGGCTAAAACTAGAATGCACTGCCCCCACCCAAAAAAAAAAAAAAGCTATGGCACATCTACTTTAACTGTTAATTTTTAAACATCTTTAACATTGCATCTAAATTTTTTGCATGCAGCGATTACAAGTAACAGTCATATCCTTATCATATAAGTTTAGAACTCCAATATGATGAGAAAAACTACTTCGGAAAATTTAAAGATAGTGAAGTTTGAATTCAATTATTCACTGAACAAATTGTTTCCCCTTTAAAGAAGGCACACTACATCCAGGATTACGTCATCACTCAGCAAACCACAGGGAGGCAGGGGATTCCCCATTCTCATGAAACTAAAATATTGTCAGATCTGTAAGCTCACTGAAGATGAAAACAATAAAAAGTAGTTGTATCAACGAGCATTCTGATGAATAATTAGACAATTAATTAACATTAAAAAATAAATGAAAGAGAACATCCTTCAAAAGATACTGCTTAAAAGAGATCTGAAATATGTCCCACTAGAATTCATTAGTTACCCGAGCTGTGAGAGTGATCTGTTGATATTTCCTGCTTCCTTCAGGCGTTCCCCCGCTGCACCTGTCAGCTTCTGCCTCTCAGAACCAGCTAAATCAACAAGATTTATTCGACTTGTTTTAAAGCTACTTAAACCATCTGCCATCCTCTGCACCAGAAAATAATTGTGAGCCTAAATTTTACAAGTACCAGTCCATGAATGTAGAAAACATGACACTCACGCATTTCCATCCTGCACAAACTGGACTACCAATTATCAAATTAAATGCCTAATTTTTTTTATTTAAATCCAATGATACCAATTAAAAGATACTAGCAACATTCTTTTAGCATTACCTTGGATCGGGATTCAACAACACAGGTAAAAACAGTGTGTGACCGCGAACTCTCAGAATTAACACTTGTTGCACCAGTCCTCCTGTTTGATAAACCCTGCATAATTATTCTGATATTAGAGAGATGATGTTTAAAACTGTATCCAAGTCATTCTAAAAAGGTTGACCATGAAAAGGAAGAACAGCGGTGACCATGTACTAGGGCAAAATTTTTACAATATCATGATGACAAGTCTTTTTTAAAGTTACGTCTTCATGCTATATGAAGTAGATGACGGTCTCTAAAAGTATAGGTCACAAGATCTCCACAACAATTCACCAAAGAATTAAACCAAAAACTGAAATGCCATTTATTGGATTGTATGACACTCCCAAGTTTAGTTTTCTCTCTCTCTCCAAAATCAAGAAAGCAAAAATTCACCAAAGAATTAAACCAAAAAATGAAACGCCAGTTATTGTATTGTACACTCCACAGGTTAGTTTTATCTCTCTCCAAAATCAAGAACGCTAAGTCAAACTATACAGTTCTTGTACGGTAGATCTCTGCACTGGGTAATCTCTTTAACATGCTCTCTCTACTTAAGCTGTTAATATACATCCAATATTAGTTACCATGTGGATATCACATAGAAAGAGGAAAAAATCAAACCAATTCCAAATCCAAGGTACAGGAGGCCAAGAGCTTATGGATGGAACAATTCAAATAACAATAGTTCAATCAAAACAATACGGAAAAGGTTATCTTTAGCCATGACAAAAAATAATATAATAATATCCTTAACATTTATATTTCAACTATCCCAGACACACACACACACACACACACACATTACATAGGTGCACATATTAGCAGGAAAAGGAAGTAAAAACCTTCATTAATATTCGAATAACATCAGCCATTGTAGATACACACTCCTCTGTTAGATTTTCCACATAAACACCAGATTTTACATCTTCTCTAATCTGTGAGATGAATTCAACAGAAGACCGAATAAGTTTCTCATAATAGATGAATTCAACAGAAGACCGAATAAGTTTCTCATAATACAGGAAATAGCACAACATTTTGTTTTCTATTGTTTTATTTATTATTTAGAGAGAGAGAAAGAGAGCATTAGGCATTATCAATAACCTGGAGGTTTCTCTGATTTGGATCCAATAGATCAGTGATTTGCTCATTGTAAATCTGCAACAAAGCTTTTCCAGTGAATTCAAATGAATTCGTACATAAAACACGTAGATCATACTGTGGAAGACAATTGTTGTCCAACCTCGAGAAAAGAACAGTAGCACTGATACTTGAGTAACTTGTCAGCATGCTTCACTTGTTCCTACAATTTGCATCAAAGACTAAATAGTGTGAGGTTTTGCACAATTACCTTTAAGAGTCTAAGAACTAAAATTTTTGAACCCACCTCGTTTATACGAGCAAAGAGTCGTTCAAAAACTCGGGGAGTTAAGCCTTTTTGTTCGGTTAATAAATTGTCATCTGACACATTGGCTGGACCCCACATGGTATATGTCTTTCCACTTCCCGTCTGGTTCAATTAGTACATAGGCATTTAGGATGTAAAATAAACATCATAAAATGCAGGAAACAGAAAGGTGGACGAAGAGATGCAGACATACTTGTCCATACGCAAATACAGAACTGTTGAAACCAGCCATGCAATTTTCAACAAGAGGCTCTCCAACAAGTTGAAAGATATCAAGCTGCAAACAGAATAAACAAAAGTTAATCTTTCACCCCATATTGTCTAATGTCAATCAAACGAGCTGCAAGCAAGAGTTCACAATAGATCATGCCTGTGTTGCCTCTGTGTCAGCAACAGCATCAAAAGTAAACGTTTGTCCATTAATTGACAAAGAATCCTCAGAAGCTTTCTGTACTACATTATCCCCTTCATCTCTGTCCTTGCACGGTGGCCTCATGCGCACTACCACCTGAAAATCGCAGACATAACTTATGCTTGGAAGAAAGTTCCAATGCCAATCTCAAAGTTGAGCTTGGGAGCTAGAGCAACAAATCCTCCTACATTCAGAGTACACTCTCTCTCCTTATACAGGCACTCACACCCCCTCATCTGAACAAACATAATGTAGAATCTTTTCTCAGGACAAACCACTAATAAACCATAGCACTAAGAACCACAGTTCAACATTCAGGTTTTAAGTAACACAACGCATGCCTGACATCCAAAAGATGAGCGAACTGAACAAGAAACGGAGTCGTTCCCTTCTAATAGCTTACTAAAGCTGCAGCATATCTACTTAACTAAATTGAGCAGAAATGCAGTAGTCCATCCACTAACATAACTTTACTGCATCTGAAACTTAAACTGTCACTTCTCCACCCAAATTTGGACAAAAATGAAACCAAAACACACAGAATCGCAACACGCAGTGTACCTTCACACCAGAATCAGACAATCCGGGGATTGAATTCTCCGGGACGGTCTCCATACTGAGCTTCCGCTTGAGTGGGTTGGAAGACGGAGGCCTGGGTGGGAGCGGGCTCTTCAACTTGGCCGGCGAGGGTTTGGGATCCAGAACCATGGAGTTAGGATCTGAAGGCGGAGCATTCTCCTTAGAGGATTTGGGCTTCCGAGGGGGTCTACCCTTGATTCCACCGCTAGGGCTTGGGGAAGAAGAAGGCGGGTCGACGGCATGGGTATCTCGCAAGATAGCGTTTCTTGGCTGCATAAAGTGCTTCATTGGAAAGAAACGGGAAAATGGAAGACGAAAAACGGATTTCACAGAGAGAAAGAAAGAAGAGTGAAGATTTTGAGGAAGACGAAGACAAGAGAGCGAGAGAGAAGGAAGAAGAGAGGGAATTAGCCGTTAAAGAATAGAGAGAGAAAGAGAGAGAAAGAGAGAGGGAAGAAATTTGAAATGACAAAGAACATATATTATAACTACAGTGAGAGAGAGAGAGAGAGAAGAAACCCTGTTTGAATTTTGCGGGTTTGGATCTGGAGCTTTTCGTGGATCCGGGTCGACCCGACATATTGGAGTTTCACTTTCAACTACCTTATTTTCTCGATTTAGTTTTTTATGATTTATTTGAAGTTTCTTTTCTTTTTTTTTTTGTTGCTAATTATTCAATTTTTACAGAAAAATCAATGAATTTATAAGCTAATAATAATATGAAACATTTCGAATAAACGCTCAAAGTAGATAATATCGTATAATTACAAAGTCTATAATCCCTAACATGCCACAATATCAAGACTCCAGAAAAGAAATTGAGCCTCCAAAACCAATCTACAATATACTTTATTCTAAGAAACACAAACATAGTTAAATTTGATATCTTTTGTTTTGAACAATCAAGAATTTCAATTTTTGGAAAGTGTATCATGATCATCCGAAAAAGGAACGATCTAAAGACTTATTGATTCTAACAGATTGCAGAGTTGATCACTCGAGCCTTTCAAAGATGTAGATCTCAACCCTATGAATAGAAATATCCCGAAACTCTAAGGGAGTGAGTTTCCCGTGATGGTTAAATTTGGAACCCTTATCCTTCCACCCAATCAAATGTTTTTGTGCATGAAGTAGAAACTCATTATTTACTTCAAAAAAGTTGCCACAAGTGGTATATCAGATCCTGAGACTCAGAATCATGGTCAAAAGCAAGCAGACTAAAGTATACGGATCATGAAAGGAATATTTATTAACTCCCCTTTCTGAGAGGAAAATGAACAAACATCCTTCAACACTAACATATGACACACCAAAAGTGTAAACAACACAACTACTACAACGCTGTATTCTACATAGACGACGCAACATTCATTATGCATTAGTGATATGAAGTTTGAGTAGCTGAGTATCAACCATGGCCACTAAGCTTTGCTATCAATGGTCATTGGCACTGCCTCCTGCTTCACCGCTGAACTCTGCAAAGCCATGGACAACACCCTTCGTCAAAAAACCAAAAGAATTCATCACAAAACAGAGAGGAACAGAGACATGAGCTGTTTAGTCAACTTACGGCAGCCTTCCCTGACTCCAACTTGCTCATTTTTGCAAAGATGTTGCCATAAAATTGTGCATCTCTCTTGTTGTATTCCCTTACTTTCTCCTTCAAATGTCGATATTCAATCTTCACTTGTCTGTATGAACATTATAATGACACCCACATGAGCGCTTGCATCGATCTTCACTTTCATTGTATAAAAGCTACTTATAAACAGCAATATCATCATGGATGAGCTACCTGTTTTCAGGGTCAATCTCAAGGGCTTTCTTGAGGTCCTGCTCAGCAAGATCAAGATCAACGAGTTGAATATATGCTTGAGCCCTTCTATATAGAGCTTTCACATTTCTACTGTCAAGTTCCAACACCTGTAGATCGAGAAATTCAGCTATTAAACCAATAGATCCTATTATCATATCAAATATTTAAGATATAACTGTCAATATGCATACCTTTGAACAGAGCTTTTCTGCTTGCCTGTGGTCCTTGACTTTCAATTTGCAAGCAGCATTGTTTAGATTGCACAAAATCTTTAGTGCCTTGCACTGTTGCTTCTCCTCATCGTTGAAGGAGGTATCATATTCAATGTAACGCACAGCCTTTTCATATCTGCTTGATGCTCTGGCATACTTACCAGCTTTGAACAATACGTTTCCCTCTTCCTTCTTTCTCCCTGCTGCTTCTATTTTCTCTTCCGCTGTTTTCAGATCGAAAGATTCTTTTTCCTAGAACAACAAAAAGTTAGTATAAGATTGATTGATGGAGCATTTTCTCGTGAGAAACTTGGCTACAAATGGATCTTCTAGACATACTTTGACAAATGAGACAAGCTCAACTTCGTAATGAACAGTTGAGTTTGCAGGAACCACAGCAAGATCTTGAGATGAATCGGAAGACCCAAAAGCATACTTGGGATGGATAGTCACCATGGCAACTTCTCCCTTCTTCATTTTTTTCACAGCCAAATCGAGTCCTTCAATGACTTGTTCTGTTCATATTCCAGTTTACAGCTTAGTTAGTAGAACAATAATGATCCAAATCATCCCATGTTCGTACCAAGATCAAATACCTTCATCAGTTTTGAACTCAAAAGGCTTCTCGTCATTGCCCTTCTTGGCAAAGATCGTCCCATCAGCTAGTTTACCGATGAGTTTCACTGGCAAGAACAGAAGCTCAATCTAGTTAGCTACTTAGACTACAATTATAACATTTCCATTTGAAAAACAACTCAGGCATCAGTAAAATAATATCACCTTGCACCTCTGCTCCATCATTTGGTTGTTCATATCCTTCTCCCTCCTTTAAAGTCTTCTTCAGGACTTTCTTATCTTTAGTGATGTCTATAACAGTTTTCCAAGAAACCAATTCAAGGGTTATCTGAAGTGTGGCATTAGGAGGCACAACACCTTCTTCTCCCACCGCAGGCCTACCGGACTCCCCAAACCCATCTGTTCAATGATAAAAGAGTAGGCAAGAATCAGCACAGCCCAAAGGAACAAGACCCAGAAGAATTCCATGTGTAAATTTACTCACATTGAGGCCTCACGGTTAACAACGCCTTCTCTCCCTTCTTCATCGTTTTCACAGCTGTTGCCAAAGCAGGGCAGAAGTAGCCTGCAAGAACAAGCAGAGCAAACAAATTCAGATACCTTTCAAATTCAGGACAACAAGATTTTAGGGCAATGAATAATACCCACCATTTTCAACGATGAATTCAACCCCATTACACTTCGAGATTAGCGTACCATCTTCACGGCGAGCCTCGTAATGAACTGGAAAGATCACAGGATTAATTCAACAATACTTCAAAGGTGAGAAAAAAGAGAAAAAGTGGACCGAAATGGATAACACACCCATGACTTCGTCTAGATCCTTCGGTTTATCCCACCCATCTCCTTTGACGAGAATCTTTTTGAGGATTCCTCCATCTTGACAGATATCTTTGACGCTGTGCCATGAAAGTAGCTCAACATCAAATTGAAGAGTAGCATTCGGTGGAATGGTTGGAGGAGAACCGGACTCTCCATAGGCTAATCCAGGGGGTATCGTGAATACTGCATTTTCACCCTTCTTCATAGTTCTGATACCTTCATCCCATCCTTTAATCACTTGCCCTGATGAAAACAGCCAACGTGATATAAGCTAAACGACCGCTGAATCAGAAGCAACACGGAAGATCAGCTACAAACAACAATGGATTAAAAGAGGGCAACAAAACTCCAATAGATATCCCCGCGGATCAACCTACGGACTATCTAATCAGGACTTGTAACGTAAAATTTCGTGCATCGGCAAACTTCAAAGTACAATCCGTAAACCTAAATTAGAAATTACCTTCCCCGAGCTTGAATTTGAAAGGCGTTCCTCGGTCACGGCTGGAATCAAATTTAGTCCCATCAAGAAGGGTTCCCGTATAATGCACTGCATAACAACGAACACAAACCCCGAATTGACAACATTCAACGCGAAAATTCACATAAATTCAAGCATCAGCCACAGATAGATAGACCAATCGTAGTTTACCTTCGACTTCATCACCAGTGTCGGGAGTTTCCCATCCTTCACCTTCTTTAACAAGTTTCTTCTTCAGCCCATTCTTCCCAATCTCCTTCTCCTCGCCAACCTTCAGAACCGGGCTCTCCGCTTCATCCTCAGGCATGTCCATTTCCTCGTCCACATTGCTTGCAGATGGAAACTCAAAATCGTCCTCCATGGCGGGAAAAATGAGTAAGAAATCAACGAGGGTGAGAAATAGACGAAAAGGGTATGCGATTCGAGCAGGAAAACTAACAATGAGAATTGCCAATAGCAATCGATTCTTGAGGTAGCACTACTAGGCACTGAATTTTATAGTGGGGGATCGCGATGAGAGTCTAGAGAGTTCTACGATCTGGCGAGTTCACGATGGTTCCAGAACCAAAAATTTCTCATTGTTTCTGTTTCCTTGATACTGACTTCAATAATGCTACGTGTCACAACAACTAAGAAGTGACTACTAGCCTTCCCATCTACGTGTCACGTAACTAAAAATAACTACTATGATCTAATATGTCTCTAAACTTTAAATATTTTATTATTTTAAATTTTATATGTAATATAAGAATACATATATTTTAAAAATTTTATATTTAATATCATATAATGATGAGATCTCACTCCAATTTGAGAGAGGAATTAAATATTATTTATAAAAGTATGAAAACTCTTTTTTAACAGACTGTTTTAAAATTGTGGGACTGACGGCGACACGTAACAGACCAAAGCGAATTTGTTAGCGGTGGTTGAGGTATTACAGTTGGTATCAAAGCTAGGCACCGAGCAGTGTGCCAGTGAAAACGCTAGCCCCAAAGGGGGTAGATTATGAGATCCCACATTGATTGAAGAGAGAAACAAGTACTGAGGCTGCTGGGCCTCGAAGTGAATGAATTGTAAGATCCCACATCGATTGCAGAGGGGAACAAATGGCTTCGAAGGAGGGTGAATTGTGAGATCTTGCGTTGATTGGAGAGGATAATAAATTATTCCTAATAAGGGTGTGAAAATCTCTCTCTAGTAGACGAGTTTTAAAACTATAAGACTGAAGGCTATACGTAATAGGCCAAAACGGATCTGATAGCTAAAGACTCCAAAAGGGAGTGAATTGTGAGATCTCAATTCAGTTAAAAATGAGAATAAAACATTTTTTTATCTACTGGTAAATTGACTCCAAAAGAGTAGATTGTGAGATCTCACATCGATTGGGGAAGAAAACGAAACACTTTTAGCTAGACATCGAAGGAGTGAATTATAGGATCTCACAAATAGAACAAAACATTCCGAACAAAGTTGAAATTGAGACCTAATTTAAAAATATACTACTAAAACATAAAATAATATATATATATATATATATATATATATATATATTATTGAATCGATTATTTATTACCTATTAAACATATAATTTTGCAACTATATTTTAAAATTGAGACATAATTATATTAATAAGGTTGCAAATTTTAATTAAATATTTGAAAAACTACTTTGGTATACAAACATTTTATTTTTATTAAAAAATTTGAATAAATAACTCGAACAACCGGAAATCAAACCATAAAAAAAAAAAAATAATAAATAATTATGATTGGTGAATTTGGTTGAGTTCATTATTTATTAAATGTCGGTGAAAAATTTACAATTCAAACAATTGGGTCCGTCTAAAAAATGTCTTAATTCGACCCAACCCACAATTGAGAATACGACCCGCACAAACACGGTAGGTAGACAAATATGTTAACAACCTAAACAATTAGGTCGGTCTAAAAAAATGTCTCAATCTAACCCAACCCACAATTTAGAATACAATCGACCCAGACAGAGTAGGCACACAATAGGTATAGAAATACGTTTCTTCACAATAATAAATTATAAAATGAACGATCGAGCCATTAACTTTAAAACGATCGATTAATACGACTAACATAATATAAGTATTTGTTTGTATGGAAAAATAGGAAATTGAAATGCAAAAAAGAAGTAAAAGGAAGTTTCTAATAAATGCTTTGCGTATTAACATAATTAAAAGAGCGAAGGCTGTCTCAACCTCAACCCCTCTTCCCAATTCCAATTCTGTCTTCTTCCTGCGGTGACCCCTTCTCTGCAATTTCTCAGGGGGTCGCCTCAATTCGCTTGTTTCTCTCGTTTTCTCTTCTCTTTTCCCTCTTTCCAATCCCATTTTTCAACACCCAATTTCTCCAATCGCGGGAAAATCCACTCCCCATTCCGAAAACGAAAAAAAAATTCCCAATTCAATTCTCTCATCACAATGTCAGAAATGGCGAACGCCGATCCCGAAGGAATTGATGGAGTTCGTATGTCCTGGAACGTTTGGCCACGCACCAAGGTTGAGGCCAGCAAGTGTGTTGTGCCACTCGCTGCTTCGATCGCTCCGATCCGTCCTCACCCTGAGATCCCAACTCTTCCTTATGCGCCGCTTCGTTGCAAGTCTTGTTCTGCCGTTCTCAATCCGTTTTCCCGTGTCGATTTCACCGCTAAGATTTGGATCTGCCCTTTTTGCTTTCAGCGATGCCATTTTCCTCCTCATTATGCCATGATCTCTGAGACCCATCTTCCTGGCGAGCTTTATCCTCAGTATACCACTGTTCAATATGCTCTTCCTCAACCCACTCACCCTAATCCTGCTTTAGATTCGGCCCAGCAGGCGAATCCTTCCCCGGTTTTTCTTTTTCTGCTCGATACCTGTATGATCGACGAGGAATTGGATTTTGTGAAATCCGCGCTCAAAAGGGCGATCGGGTTGTTGCCTGATAATGCGCTTGTTGGATTTGTTTCGTTTGGGACTCAGGTTCAGGTTCATGAATTGGGATTCTCTGATATGTCTAAGGTGTATGTGTTTCGGGGTACGAAGGAGGTTTCTAAGGATCAGGTTTTGGAGCAATTGGGTCTAGGGGTTGGAGTGCGGAGAGTCGCTGGAGCGTATCAAAAGGGGGTCCAAAGTGGATTCCCTAATTCGGGTGTTGCACGTTTTTTGTTGCCTGCTTCTGAATGCGAATATACCCTCAATTCGGTAGGTCTCATTTGGTTCTCTGTTTCTGTTCATTTTTTTCTGGTCAAATCCCACATGGAGTTGGGAAATTCTTGAACTCGGTTATATTTGTTGTGAATTCTAGTTGTTGGATGAACTTCAAACGGATCAATGGCCTGTGTCTCCTGGTAATCGGGTATCTCGGTGCACCGGAGTTGCGTTAAGCGTTGCAGCAAGTTTGCTTGGAGCTTGTTTGCCTGGAACCGGTGCTCGCATTATTGCTTTGGTTGGTGGACCATGCACAGAAGGACCTGGCACGGTAACTATGGAAAAAAAAAGAGAGAAAGAAAAGAAGAAAATTTTGTTCCTCGATTTTGTTGCCTTGAATTATATATTATGATTTGAGCTACATCCTGCCCTATACTTGGCATAATTTTTGTAGGTTTCTTGATTTTTGGTCGTTAGAAGCTACGCCAGAGGTTTGGAATTGCATTTTGGTTATTTGTTTTGCTTTGTTGCTAACTTTTTATTGTACTTGATTTTGAACTTGCCCGCTTATTTTGGTAGCAGACATTCCCTGTATCATTTTGGACATCGTATGCCGTTAACTTGTGTCTTCGTCCTGCACTGGTTCAAATTAATTTATTACTACAGAAAAATATGGGCCTTTTTGGCCAATTTTTTTTTATGGCCAAATTGGATCCTTATTTTCCACCCTTTTCTCTCACTGATGTCTAGCATCATGTGAGACTAATGTTCGTGCAAACTACTTGCTTGATAATTTATCCAAGTCCATGAGATAGTTAGTGGTTATTTTCTCTTGCTTCATATTGCTTGTGACAAAATTATTTGCAAGGAAGTTGGTAGTTGGATCCATATGTTGCATACTTTACTTCAAACTTTCATGCTCATTGACTCCAACAATGCAATTAGAAGCTTCTTTTGCTTTAACTCAACTAAGATGGCTTACAAAAGGTGTGGATTTAGGTATAAGAGCTTATAGAATCTGCATCAAGAAGTGGCAGATATTTCATTTTGGCTATTTTATCTTGTATTTTATTTCCTCTTTTTATATTTACTCTCACTTATTCTTAAGGCATAGCATCAGCTAATTTGACTTTGATACAGTAATTTTTTTGATGTTGGAAAATACTTGGTTACTTTCACTAGGACTTTATCATATACTTAGAGAACTGCAGTATTGGGGTTTTTAATTTTGAAACAATTATTTGACATATTTTGCAGTGGCACATGTAATTACTTGCGTTGCAATACTTTATTATATTACTTTAATATGAGTGTTTCCATAATCAATTCTGCTGTACATGCAACCCAAGTAATGAAAGATATGATTGCATGTTATTTTGTAAGTTATGAAGGGAACTACTATCTTTGCGTGGACTTTGTTCTAGATGCAACTTTCACTGGCACAATTGAATTGTTAGAATTAAAAATTGAAATATGATCAACCTTGTTCTCATTCCTTTCATACTTATAATTGCTGATGTTTGGCTTGATATACTGATTGGATCGAACACTTACAGATTGTGTCAAAAGATTTATCGGATCCAGTGCGTTCACATAAAGACCTTGATAAGGATGCAGCTCCTTATTTCAAAAAAGCAGTCAAATTCTATGAAAGTCTTGCAAAACAGCTGGTTGGCCAAGGCCATGTCTTGGATCTTTTTGCATCAGCACTTGATCAGGTTGCTATATAATTTACCTGCCTCAAATGGGATCTATCTCCTTTTAAAAATATAAGTTCAGCACTTTGCAACACAAAGTAACATTTGGTTGGTCGCTCATATTCTATAAAAGAAATCTTAGTATAAAACAACATGAGAATTAGACTCCTAACTTGTTTCTTACCTGGAGCTGTAAACTTAGATTGAATTGATTCTGGTAATTTTATATCCTCTTTTGGGTTCTCTTATGTTGAATTTCATGCTTGTTTTTGTTTTTGTTTGTTTTTTTTCTTGATTTTTAGGGTGTAAATCTTGAGCATTTCTGCATTCTGCAGATGCACTGGCTGAATTTGTTGTGAGCAAGTTTTCCTATTCATCATGAAGTCCAAATAATAATGTTGAATGTTCCCTCCCCTGAAGAAAGAAAATGTATCAAAAGCATAAAGTATATCAAGAGAAATGAGATGCAGCAATAAGAAATCATACTAGCTTTAAATGTTGAAGACCATCTCTTGAATTGTATAGGTGGTGTTACAGCTAACAAATTTTCATATTAGTCATGATTTTCATGCTAAAATTAGCATATTTAAATTACATTGATCCATGCAAGGAGGCTAATTGGTTATTTGAGCGGTTGGGGGGTAAGTTTTGTAGATATGGGACTTTGGATTTCGGTGACAAATGACCCAAAAATTAGTCCTTTTCTCCTCTATCTCACTGCATGATGA